TTGTGATGGAAAGTGTTTTGCTTTTCATTTGGTCACTCATTCATATGAAAGTCATGTTCTTTATAATTCACTGAATGCTATAAAGAAAACCCTCTGCACTAGTAGTCCTGGAATTTTATTCTTTCTTTCTTTCTTCCTTTCTTCACATTCATTATGTATTCATTATCTAGTCAATATACATTTATTGAATAAACACTTGGCTACATGGCTGACATTGTCTGGCATGAAATCACAGGCACTGTGGAAACACAAATAGGACCTACAAAGGCTCAAACCAGATGGGGTCCCAGCGATGAGATGGAGAATTGAACACAGAGTCCACAATAAGACATTTGCTATTGATACCCACTGGCAAAGAGATCAGTTTTCTCTAATGGAATGTCAGTGGGTTTATTAACCACATTCCAGAGTAGGCCCAAGCTCGTGAATAGCTGACCAACATAAAATGAACTCCATCTCTTCTTGTAGACTCTTTGTTTGGTTGGTTTTGAGAGAAAGAGAGAACATGAAGCTGAGTGAGTATGGGAGTGAGTACAGGCAATCTGGGAGTAGTGAGGGAGAGGAAAATCACGATTAAAAAGAGAATTAAGAAAAAATTAAAAAAAAAAAAAAAAAAAAAAGTAGCTTTGTCCCTTGACCAAAAAGAAATGAGGCTCTTTTAAAGTAGTGCCACCCAGGTAATAAAGCCCTTTAGCTGACTCATTAGGTCTGGAGTAAACTTCATCATCTCTATTTTGTCAAAAATACTATAGGTAACTCATAATGTACCACAAGTTAAGAATTACAAGTTTATCTCTCAAGATCTAGGGGCTTAGGAGGAAATAGTAAACAGCCCCTGCTGTCAAGAAGAACACCAGAGACAAATTGATGAGTTGGGTAAATAAGGGGGCAATTGTGAAGAGTTTGCTGTAATGAGTTCTGCCTGGGTTAAGCACACCTTTTCCCACATATGCATTTTTCTATGTCAGCCAAGTCTGTTAATGGATTATAAAACACAAAAATGAGAATTTTCTCCATTTATAAAACCAAAGCGCTCAAATTGTGGTTAAGACCATATTTTCTGTCTTAACTACTCTATTCCATAATTGAGTGAATTAGGTATACCGTGATTAAACTCAGGAAGTGGAAAAGCAGACAAATTCTATTTCTGATAAAAGCCCGTGGGAGATTAGGGAGAGGTGAAGGGTTGCAAAACTGAGCTCCTTAAAGGCAGGGACCATGTCTCACTTTCACTGATATTTTCTCCCTTATGGCCTAATCCAGACCCCAGCATCTAAGAAGGCACCAAATCTGGTGTGATTTTGTCTCTTTTCCCCCAGTGGCTTGTAAACAGGTGGTTCTCCCTAACCTTTGATACCCCTGAGAACTGTCCTAGCACTAGGACCAATGACTGCAACAAGGAAACCCACTTGGAGTCTTTCAAGATGACAGAATGTTTACTCTTGGCTTAATTAAAAAAAGAAAAGGAAAAAAGAAAAAAAGCCTTGTTTAATCCTTCATGTTGGGTGGGCTTTTTCCTTTCCTTTCTTCTTTTTTATTTATTGGTATTATTGCTAATTGGTGCTTTGTTAGTACTGCCTTGAACTCTGTTCTCTTATGGTTACATTATATTCTTCGTGTGTGTGTGTATGTGTGTGTGTGTATTTATATGTAGACTCTAGAGATCTATATTAGGTTTCTTCCTCAGTTGCTGTTCTTGATTTTTGAGACAGGATCTCTCAGTGAGGCCCTGGTATCCAACTGTCTCTAGCCCCAAATTGCTGGGCCAGTAGACATGCACCACCTTGCCAGGCTTTTTACTGAACACTCCGTGTCTGAACCAAGATCTCATACTTGCACAGCAAGCACTTCATTGACTGAGCCATTTTTCCAATCCCCCTTTTATTTTCTTTTAGTTTTATTTTATGCAATATGAATTACCTACCTTTCTTCCTTCCTGTATGCTACAGAAACAAAGCACTAATACTAATGAAGAGAAGCCTTGGAAAGTACTTTATCCAAAACAGAGAAGGATGTGTGCAGATACTCTGAGCAACACCGAGATGCTTCAAAAAGCCCATCTCCTGTTCTCTGAGGATAAGACAGGAAAGTCACTGGACCATACATAAAAATCCTCTCTAGGAAATCTATTAAATATAGTCCACATCAGAATTCCATAAACAATAATCACAAAGCCCCTGAATGAAAGCTTAATAGATTAGTAATATCATGTTATTCTTAAGACCTAGGTATAATTGAAAGGTTTTGTGTTCGTTTTCTTTGACTACATGGCATTATGAAGGTCAAATGGGACTTCCATGAAGAAAAGCTTGTTTGATTACAGGGGTCTTAATTTGACATCTGCAGGTTTCTACACAGTGTGGATATATCTAATGTGAACATAGATTATATAAACTTTAAATTGTGTTATATAGAACATTAATATAACTTTACTTTATGTTGCTACTTTGAAGTAAAAATAAATTTCCTCAGATTAAAAGAATTGGTCAAGATCCTCATAGTTTTACAGCTAGCTGACTGTTAGGATTATAAACGGCGTCTATTCTGAGGTCATAGGAAAGTGCCATTTATCTGGGAAGCAGAAATGTCTTTCATATTTTGAGGATACTCCAGATATCAATTGATTATTCTTAGTATTTTGTTGTAAGATATTATTTTATTGTTTTCAAAAACATTCACTGACAGTAGCCAGAAACTACATCATGCTCCCCACCTTTCTCTATCTTATGAACTTAGTTAACATAAAGCCATATGTGGATATGTACTATGTTTAAAACTATATCCTGAAATGAATATCTTTGAAATGAAAAATGTGTTATAAAAAATCAAATTAAGCAATTGCTATGTATAACCATGTTCTTAATTTCTGCAAAATTTTAAATATAATAGTAAGAAAACATTTAAATCATTTAAAAGCACCCTGAAATATTTGATAATTACTTGGCTGTATGAATATTTGGTTATTATTTTACATGAAAATGCATGTTTTTAAGATGTATTTTCCATGGCATTTCTCTTTTGAACATTGGTGTTGAATTTTGTAAAGTCCAAAATAGCTAGGAATTCACTCTTACTCAAGAGCCTCAGATAGTATCTCACTGAATTTTGTTTAGATCTTTACAACTGTGTGAAACACATTTCTTAGTGACCTAAACTATTTTTTTTTCTTGAAAACATGAGGAATCAGTTAACAGATAGAGTGAAACTGACGTACATTTTCTGTTTTGACAGTGACATCTTATTTCTGAGAGACCTTCAGGTTGGAGGACAAATTGGTAGCATGTAGGTTTTAGAAGGTGCAGAGTGAGCTCATCATAATGATGGTTTATGTAGATACTCAGATTCTTCATGCTTGTGTATGTTACTTCTCCTATGATGCAGTTCACAAAGAAAATTAATATACAGTACTGGCTGTACCCATTCTGTGTAAACAGTATGAAATATGAGCTAAGCATACATATACTTGTATGATTTACTTTTCTCCAAGAAGCATATCCAAGATATTCAAATACTAGTAATCCACCCATTCTCTCAATTGTTCATTTGTAAGAAATATAGAATAAAAATATAAACTCTTGAATATTCACTAACAGCCTGTTCTTAAAGGTAAAATTCTCAAATAAATTTATTGACATTTCTAAGATTTATTAACATCATATTTGTTGATCAAATCTCATATATAATTTATTATTTTTGCTCAACCCAATGAGCTGTACATAGCAAGTTTGGTCTTATACACATGTTGCAGAGTATTATGAATAAAGTATCTATATCATTCTGCAGTTTGCTTCTTTTGTGATCAGATTCAAGTCTCATTATACTTGTGATTTGATTGGTTTTCCTTCCTGTGGATTCTTAGTGCCTTTTGAAGCAAAAGTTTTGAATTTTGAAAGACTCCCAACTTACCACACTTTTTCTTTTATCATTCATGATGTGATTATTTTAAACAGTATTTTTATTCCTAGAGAATTTCATAACAACCCACCCCCTCTGCCTTCCCATCCTTTCCCACCAAATACTGAACATTCTTCTCCTTTGCCCCCTCGAAGTTTAGTTTTTATTGCCCAATGAGTCTGGGGAGTGGGGCCTGCCCTGGTTTGTGGTCAATCTACTAGACATCAGGTCCTTAAAGAAAACCAACTCTTCCTATTCCAACAGCTATCACAGGCCAATAGCTCCTCAGCAAGGGGTGGGACTTGATGATCCCTTGGCCTCTGTGCTGGATATTGTTTGGCCTCAGCTTGCATGGGTCTTATACATGCTGTCACTGTTTTCTTGAAGTCATCTATCATATCACTGCCACCACCATCACTACCAAGACCACCACCAACAGCAACACCAGCTCTTAGTAACTTTCTGCTCCTTCTTCCAGAAAGATCCTTGTGTCTTGAGGGGAGGAGTATAGGTCCTATCTAGAGCAGAGCACTCCCCAGTCTCTTATTCTCTGTACATTGACTCACTGAGGATCTGGTATTTTCTTTGTTGCTTTTATTACTTTTCTTACTGTCTTTAGCTTGTAGCAGTTCAATTATGATGCACCAAAATGTAGTTGTCTTTATTTTATTTGTAGCAGACTACATTTTCTTATTACTATAAGTTAATGGTTTTTGTAATGTTGTGAAATTATATATTACTACCTTCAAAATGTTCTTCTACCTCTCTTTCTTTGTTTGATTACAATTGCTGTTGAGTTACAAAATAGTTATATAACTTAAACCATAAAGAAAAATTAAAATGAGAGGGAATTATGAAATGTTACAATTTCTCAGAAATTTTAGCTTTTAGGGTTTTTTTTTTTTTATTATTTTACATATCAATCCCAGTTCCCTCTCCCTCTCATCCTCCCATTCCTCCAACTGCCCCCCACAACCCATTACCCATCTACTCCCCATGGAGGGCTAGCTATTTAAAAAGGGTAAATAGTGCACACCCTAGAACGTTTACTTAGCAAAAGTTAATGTTGCCTGTCTTCTTTCCTTATTCTTATAAAACCTCTCTAGGTGCCTTTCCTCCCTCTGCTGTCTATGCAAGAAAGGACTTGCTGCAAAGGTCTACCCACATCGCTACCAAGACTTTCCAAGCGCTTCGCATCTTTGTGAACAATGAGCTGAATGAGCTCTACACAGGACTGAAAACAGCACAGAAATTTCTGAAAAGTGGTGGCCGCCTTGTTGCCCTCTCCTTTCATTCTTTAGAAGATCGCATTGTGAAACGATTTTTGCTTGGGATAAGCATGACAGAAAGATTTAACCTGAGCATTAGACAGAAAGTGAAGCAAACTTCACAGCTGAATTCAAGTCGTGGGAGTGTTGAGAGTGAAAGGAGCAGCCCTGTAAGAGCTCCTCTGATGTGGGATCTCATTCACAAGAAGGTGCTCACTCCGGAAGATCAGGATATCCAAGAAAACCCCAGAGGGCGCTCAGCCAAGCTAAGGGCAGCTATCAAATTATGAGGCTCTTATTATTCGATCCTTAAATTTTCCTCCTGTACTTCTGTTTTTGTTTTCTAATATAGAAGTGTTTCTGAACACTTTAATGCAACGTAAAGTATGGGGCAGCCTGGAAATGAGTGATAAGTATTTTTTTCTCTAAAGATAATGTAGGAAGCTTTGACATGGCATAAAAACTTCCACTCAGAGATCACAGAGTCTCAAAATGGGAACTTGTTGATCTCTGCGTTGTATTTGAATTATAAAATTCAGTCATTTCTTTAATGAAAAAAGTGGAAAACCACAGAGACAGCTGACAGGAGCTTCTGAGAACCCTGGGACTCTAGACAAACAGCTCGCTCAGGGAGCCTGCATGGGCTGAAGGAGACCATTTGAATGTGCATGACAGTTGGGTGGCTTAATCTGTTTGTGAAGCCCCTGGCAGTGGGACCAGGATCTATCCCCTAGTGCTTGAACTGGCTTTCTGGAGTTCATTTCCTATGGTGGAATGCCTTGCTCAGTATTGATGCAGTGGGGAGGCTTGGTCCTGCCTCAACTTAAATTGCCAGGCTTTGTTGACTCCCTGTGGGAGGCCTTACTCTTTCTGAGGAGTGGATGGGAGGTGTGTTGGTGGTGAAGTGGAAGGAGCAGGAAGAGGAGAGGGAGAACTGTGGTTGGTATGTAAAATGAATTTTAAACTTTTAAATAAAAAAATATTGAATCACTGCATAAATTTTTGTGGCTATTTTGTTTGTGTTTTTATATTATAGTCACTAGTTTATAAGTGACTAAAGTATACCAATTAAGTTTTTGTAAGTAATGTATTTGTCACCTCACTTTAAACATTGCAAATGTTTGAAAAACATACATTCTTTAGTCTCTGCAGAATGTTATATATTTCCAACGGTTTTTAAAACTCTGATTATTTTTGTTTTGAAAGAATAAACAATTACTATCATGTATGCTTTCAAGAACAATTCTATCCCCTTTTTCATTTCTGATTTGGTTGATTTGCATGTTTTCTCTCTGCCTTTTGGTTGGTTGGAATAAAGGTTTGTCTGTCTCATTGATTTTCAAGAAGAACCAACTCTTTGTTTCATTGATTCTTTGTACTGTTTTCTTTGTTTTCTACTTTATTGATGTCAGTCTTCAATTTGATTATTTTCTGGCTTCTACACCTCTTGGGTGAGTTTGCTTCTTTTTCATCTAGAGGTTTCATGTGTGCTGTTAAGTCTCTAGTGTTACTATTCTTCAGTTTCTTCATGTGGACATTTAGTGCTATCTCTTAGCACTGCTTTAAATATGTCCCATAAGTTTGGGTATGTCGTGCCTTCGTTTTCACTGAATTCTAGGAAGTCTTTAATTTGTTTGTTTATTTCTTCCTTGTCCCAGGAGTGATGTAATTGAGCATTGTTTAATTCCATGAGTTTGAAAGCTTTCTTCAATTTGTGTTGTTGAAATCTAACTTTATAGCATGGTGATCCAATAAGATACAGGGCATTATTGCTTTGTTGGTGGGTATGTGGTCGATTTTAGAGAAGGTTTCATGTGACAATGAGAAGAAGGCTACCTTAAATGCCATCCTAGAGCCTTTACCCAGTAGCTGATGGAAGCAGAAGCAGAGATTCACAGGTAAGCACTGAGCAGAAGAGAGGGAGGAATGATGAGTCAAGACCATTCTGGGGAAGCCCACAGAAACAACTGACCTGAGCAAGTAGGAGCTCACAGACACCAGTCTGACAGTGGGGAGAGCAGCATAGGACAGAACCAGGCCCCCTGAGCATGGGTGTCAGTTGATAGGCATGGGCAGTCTATGAGGCCTCTGGAACCAGTATTTATCCCTATTGCAGGAATGGACTATGGGGGCCCATCCCCTACAGAGGGATACTCTTTCAGCCTAGATAAATGGAGGAGGGCTTATGCCCTGTTCCAAATGATGTGATAGACTTTGATGATCCCCCATGGCAGGCCTCACCCTCCCTGGGGAGCGGATGGGGGGGTGAGATGGTGGGTTGGTGGGGCCATGGGAGGATGGGAGGGAGAGGGAACTTGGATTAGTATGTAAAATAAGATTGTTTTTAATTTAAATAAATTAAAAATGTTTTTCAATAAAAAAGAACAATTCTAAGTATTCTTTTATTTTTTGCTTGTTTGTTTTTCTTTTGGGTTTTGGTTTCTCAAGACAGTGTTTCTCTGTATAGCTTTGGAGCATGATGTGGAACTAGCTCTTGTAGACCAGGCTGGTCTCAAACTCACAAAGTTCCACCTGCCTCTGCCTCCCGAGTGCTGGGATTAAAGGCATGGGCCACCACTGCCAAGCAAGAACATTTTATACTCTCTGCTTCCATATTCATATTAATGTATTATGCCAAATGAGGTGTTATTAATTTAGATGGTAAAAACTCTGGGTAAATAAATATGAAATGAAATTATAAAACTATGTCATTTGTAAGTCTATATTTTAACTCATTTGTATGATTGCTGCAATATTTTAGTAGATATTTTATCTATTCAGCAATCTTCAGTTGAACAAGATAATATTCAAGTAAGAGAGATTTGTGAGTGTTTGGTAAATATAAATTGGTGGCAGAAATCCTAACTCTGAGATGCACTTTTCTCAGAACTTCAATACCATGTGTTTAATATCAGATGGAGAATTGTTTGCAAAGTCTACAAATACCTCAAGAGAGGTATCAAAATCGTTCTATATTTCTCAACTTCATATTTTTATCCAATTTTATTTGTGCATAGATGCTATTTTCAGTTAATGTTTAGTAACACAAGGTGCTCTGACAATTTAAAGAGAATCTGTAAATATAAATTATGTTTTTAAAGTCTTACTACACTAAAAGCTTTAAAAATTAAAGATGTAATAGAATGATTTGTGCTAGATAAAAGTAGACCTAGTTCATAATACCTATCACAAAGTTCTTCAAAAACATTTTGGCCACTTTTTATCTCAAAATCCATTCAAGCTATTAGACAAAATGAAAAAATAAGTATTATTTTGATGTATGAAAAAGAGGTTGTTTCTTTGGTGACAGTGCATCCCCTTATGCAATATGTTGCCTTAATTGCTTAAAAAATGATTTACTCGTAACAGGTTCCCTGTTGTGTTTCTGATTACTCAAATGATTATATAGAAAGCTAAAAAATCAAAGAAGGGCATGAGATACTTCTGATCCTTGAATAACTGTGTCCCTTGAGCTTTAGCTTATATTTACCTATTACTACTCATCAACCTTACTCAAGTGAGGGCTTATATTAATAAGCAATCAACATGAGCCCCATCATTCTCTCAAGGCAAGTGTTATCCAGTGCTACTGGAACTAACATGACGAACTGTGTAAATAAATATGACTATTGATGATAGGTAAAATAAAAACAATTTTAATTTCAGGTCTGCATTTGATTGCTGAAATTGTGAACTTAGGTATGCTATTTAATTCCTAGAATTCTTGTTTACTTCACTTTATTTTTTTATTTTAATAACCAAGTCCATTTAAATGAAAACAAGCATTTATAGACAATATTTGGGAATTTGGACATCATTCTTTCCAAACTACTTCCTGATGGTAAGGGGCGCTGTCATGGGGGATTCGAAGAAGTTTCAGAAATCCTGGCTGTAGTCTGTCAGGCTGCTTTGTCCAGCTGTTTGAAAGTAGGATCACCTGGTACTGTTTCAGGTGGTCTGGCTTGATCAAACCACATTAGTCTGGAAGGAATCCACATCTTTTCATTTTCTGTGGAAACAAAACTAAAAATCCTTTTCCCCAGTAACTTGTCCTTCAACTTAAATTTTGGAGTCAAAGCATTTTTTTTTAATTTATTATTTTACATGTCGATCCCAGTTCCCTCTCCCTCCCTCCCTCCCTCCCTCCCTCCCTCCCTCCGTCTTTTCCTCCCTCCCTTCCTCCCTCCCATTTACCCTCTCATCCCTCTCACATGCACTCTAACCACCCTTCCCTCCCATCCCCCCACCCCAATTCCATATGTAGGGGAATGCCATCCAGTTGGGGTCATGTAGATCTCACAAGTCATGTGAAGTAGGGCCTAGGGCTTCTTTCCTGTCTCTAGATTAAGGCAGTTATCCCTTATGCCTTAAGGGATGTGTTTGCAAAGTCGTTTTGTGCACCAGGGATACATCCTGGCTCCACTGTTTGAGGTCACTTAGTCTGTTAAGTCCTTCTGACTGAGACCCATATTCAGAGGGACCTGAGTCACTCCCATGCTGGCTTCCCAGCTATCAGTCTGGTGGCCCATTAGCTCCTCCTTGATCAGGTAAGCTGTCTGTATGTGTTTCTGCAGCCTGGTCTTGTCCTCTCCATCTGCATCTGGGTTCTACTTTGACTCAGTGTTTATGTATGGGTGTTTGCTCCTGTTTCCAACAGGCATTAGTTGAGGGCTCCATGGATAAGTTAGTTGTTGATCTCACTCTCTGGGAAGGGCATTTATGGTAGCCTTTCCACGGAAGCTCAAATTGTTAGTTGGGAGCAGTTTTGTAGTTCTCTAGACCTTTCTTTGTGTTCAATTTTATCTTCAAACCAATATTGGCTCCCTCTTTTATGTTCTTGTTCTCTCTCTCTCTCTCTCTCTCTCTCTCTCTCTCTCTCTCTCTCTCTCTCTCTCTCTCTCTCTCTCTTTCTCTTTCCTGCCTTCTATTCCTAACCAGGCTAAATCTTCCTGGTTGCACATGTTTTCCTTTCCTCCCCCTCGTTTTTTCCTACTTCTCCCTTCATTCCTGCCCTCATACTTCCCGTGAGCTCTGGGGGACTTGTCCCTTCCTGGAGCAACACTATTTGTAATAGCAAGAACCTGGAAGCAACCTAGATGCCCCTCAATTGAAGAATGGTTAATGAAGATGTGGCACATCTACACAATGGAATACTACTCTGCAGAAAAAAATAATGGTACCTTGAAATTCGCAGGCAAGTGGATGGCACTTGAAGAAATCATCCTGAATGAGGTAACCCAGTCACAAAAAGAGGAACACAGTATGTACTCACTGATATATGGATTTCAGACCTAGATCAAAGGATCACCAGCCTATTATTCACACCACCAGAGGAACTAGGATACAAGGTTTATTTCACTTTAAAACAAGAATGTTATTTAGACTTTGTAATGAACTTACTATGAGTGAAACAGAATAATATTTATGCATGAAATAATAACAGGAATGAAATAAGGCAATGATCGAGCCTAGGAACATAATGAGGACCTTTAATTCCAGCACTCCAGAGGCAGAGTCAGGTGGATCTCTGTCAGTTCGAGGAGAGCCTGGTCTACAGAGATCATTCCAGGACAGGGTCCAAAGCTACACTGAGAAGCCTGTCTGGAAAAACAAAGACA